TCTCTACATTCCCCCTACAGACATGCAAGCAAGACATACATTCCCATATAATACACAGACAGTTCAGGGTAGTAATGTCCCATACATCTGCAGTTTGTCTGAAAGTAATGCTGAATCATGGCATGCGATTGGGGAAAAATAAGAACGGCCCAGAATAATTGGTAGATGTTACTTTAATGGAAGTTAATGATTAAGAAATAGCCTCTCCCAATTAAAATGCTTCAGAGGTATCTCCAGCTATCAGAACTTGAAGATGACACACACATCCCTCAAGCTAACTGGAGATGGATGATGTAAACTCTGTTGACTGGCATCCGTTTGTCTTGGGAGACAATGGAGGAATATGCCTTTGGGGGTGAAGTCAAAACTGTTGGAAGGTTACAGCGCATGCTGTGGCTGTAGAAACCAATACAGGAGAGACATGTTTTGTTGCAGCTGGGGCAGATGAAGACATCTGGTTGTGCTGCTGCAGATGCACCATGGTATTTCTTCTCTCTGCACTCCTCCCTGCAGTCATTTCTCCTCTGATCTCTGCTAGGCATGCATAATCTATCTGTCTCCAAGCACTGTGTTTTCTCCAAGGGATTCCAACACAGCAGATTTAATGTTGCCAGCCTTCATAACACAGTGTTCAGCTGTCAATGGGCCTAGTGCCAGAAGCCAGCTCCCCATAGAGCATGTCCTTGGGGATTTGGTCATTATCCATTATGTGGACATGACCAAACCATTGTAGATGTTGCTGAGACAGGAATGTGAACATGCTGGGAATGTGGGCTTGGGAGAGCATATATTTGTTCGAGACTGTCCTGCCATGTGATAGAAATACTGCATATATGAAGGAAATACCATTTTGGGACAGAGAAACACAGAAGGAAGAGAGAGTTGTAACTTAAAGGCATAGCACCTGAAGAGTGCACATCTTTCTCTCTGGGGATATGGTGGGAAGTAGCATATAGGCTGCTTGGTAGGTCTTTGGAAAGGAGAAGAATTTTGTTCTTTCCACATTTTTAAGTGAACCAACCTAATCTGCACCTTCTGGACTAATGCACAGACCAGAATGTAATTCTCCTTTGGATTTTGCGTTTCTCTGAGTTTTGTAATACATTTCTCAGCTCAGAAAACACACCCAAATTTATTCAAAATGTATACTTTAGGAGAAAATACATTTAGAAATTCCTACATTGAGAAAAAATACACAATGAAGTACATATTTTGTGATTATACACACACACACATATATGCGTGTATCTAAATATAAAATGTCATACAGATTTTTTAAAAGAAAACAACAAAAATTAATGCAGAAACAGGATGAAACTGGCATAACCATGTATACATTCATAACTGACAGCGACTAGAAATAGCATGCTGCTTGCCTTATATTTATTTTTAAATAAATCAAATATTACAAAAGTACCACAAGTCTCCAGTACTCCCACCTCCAAAAAAACTTCAGAGCTCTGGAACTTGCACACACACAGGAAAGCAGACAGCAGATAACAAGATCAACATGACTTTCTCAAAATCTGCCTTTTTTTAGGGGGGAGTTATCAGAAGACTGGGTTGTAGGATTCTGTCATCTCGGGAATTTAGCTGGGATACTGTCTACAGCTGAAATACAGAGAATACCTGCTTTTAGCTATATGTTCAAAAGATATGGGAAGATTTTATATAGTGCCTTGGTAAAATATGTTTTCTCAGGGCAAATTGTTAAACCAGCAATTGTATTATGTAAAAACATATTGGATAGCTTAAGTGACTGTATTGAGAGCAGCTAGAGTTCAGTGGAATGGATCCAGGAGTCTTGGCTATTACACATTCATAAAGAAAAGTTGCAATTAAATCTATTACATCTACTTCAATAGATTTATATCCACAACTCATTCAAGAAAGTATTATTTTGTAAGTATGGCAAGTTCTAATTAATTTTTGAAATTGGATTAGTAACACAAAATAATTTTTAGCACTGTGAGAGGTCACCAGCAACTTTAGTACACATTATAGAATGGCCCACTGCTTATGGGAAGATGTAGATCAGGCATAGGCAAACTCGGCCCTCCAGATGTTTTTGACCTACAACTCCCATCATCCCTGACCACTGGTCCTGTTAGCTAGGGATGGTGCGAGTTGTAGGCCAAAAACATATGGTGCGCCAAGTCTGCCTATGCCTGATGTAGATATTAACATGATCCTATTTTATGTTTCTCATTTCTTATTCTAGATTATTTTCCTAATGCTCAATCGTAACTATGGTTACTATTGACAGCTGTTCTGGTAGCCGAAGGTAGAAAATCTTTCTACTTTCCTTATGTGGATCAATAACTTAAAGACCTACTAGATTCGGTCAATTAAGCAAAAGTTGCTTACAACAGAGAAAATTATCCAAAGAAGTTTGATCTAATTTGGAAACCATTTTCAGAGCTTTATAGAGATTGAAATATCTGAATGGTTTTGGAGGCATCAGATACCTGTTACTTTACTCTCCATTACTTTATTTAAAAATGTTCACATCTAAAAATGGAGAAAGACAAACTATTGTGGGATGCTTTTAATAGGGCAAAGCTAAGGCTGCAATCTTATTTACACTTTCCTGGGAGTAAGTCCCACTGAACTCACTGGAACTTCTGGGTAGATTGTTCTGTAAATCATTTATGGTTTGTAGGTGTGGGTGTGTGGGTGTAATGAAGCAAGAGAGTACTCATTAAAAGCCTGTGTGGCCATATCTGTCTGCCAGAGGCAAATTGTAAATGTGGTGTATGCCTTCAGATGTCTTCTGAAAGTTGTATAGTTGTTAATCTGTTTGACGTCTGATGGGAGGGCATTCCACAGGGAGGGTGCCACCACCGAGAAAGCCCTCTGCCTGGTTCCCTGTAACTTCACTTCCCGCAATGAGGGAACTGCCAGAAGGTCCTTAGAGCTGGACCTCAGTGCCTGGGTTGAATGATGTTGGTGGAGACGCTCCTTCAGGCATACTGGGCCGAGACCCAAGTTTGAGAACCTATAGCCCTCCAGGTGTCACAGGAATACAATTCCCATCATCACTGTTGCTGGACTGCAACTACCATCATCCCTGAATACATGTTCGAGTACAACAACATCTGGAGGGCTGCAGGTTCTCTACCTCTGTACTAAGCAGCAGATAATTCAGGCGCAAGTAGCAATTTGCTGTGCTGTAGAATGTCACTGTGTAGAATTGTACACGATTCAGATACCAGCATCTTTACAGCCAAGTATTTTGATGCTTTGAGAAAATTCTGGCCACTGTTCTTTTGCAAATCTGAAATATAGTTAATCAGGAGTAAAGGAATATGGTCCTGGGCTTTAGTTTTTACACACAGACCCCTATCTACTATAGGATCAGATGGTGCAGGTGGGGAGAGAGATTTCTGAATGTGCAAGCTTACTCTCCAGGGTGCTTCAGCTGATGAGGAGTCTGTTTGTAAAGAAAATCAACTTTGGAAATCATTGAGAGAGAAATCCTTTTTTTCCCCTGTGCTACCTGCCAGGTGATTGATCTGGTCCATTCGGAGCATCAGATCATAGCATTCTGTAATATAATTTTGCTTATGTGATTTGTCTTTGTATGTGATCAGTGTGATAAATACTATTTAAAAAATATATATTGCAAGGCAAAGTGTGTTATTTCTCACTAAAGCAGGCAGCCAAAGGGGCATGCTCTGCCCCCGTGCTATGTGTCTCATGAAGCAGAAAAGCAATTCAGTCAGACTAAAGGGCTACAGACAAAGTGGTATATTCTTGGCAATAAATGCAAATGATTTGAATTCATTTCCCTGCTTAGAGAGAGAGAGAAATTAAAGCTAAAGATATTGCAGATCAAGGATTTCAACTTTAAGCTGGCACAAAATTATCATAAAAGAAAACAAGTGACTAAAGAGGGGGGAAGAGGGGGAGATGCCTCTGAAATAATCTGTGCTAATGAACAGACCCCTGCTCTGGGTTTGAAGTACCTCTCTGCTCTGCAGCTCCCCTCCCCCCACCCCCCACCATGCACAATAGCATCAGGCCTTTGCTGCAATCAGTCGGCTAAGAACAGCTTGTAAATATTTGGATGCTCATTGGCCCATGAGGATAAATCGTCCTCCCTTAACATCAAAGAGTTCCTTTGCTAGTGCCTTTGTTAGGTAACAAATGGTTGCAGTTTCTGAAGCACATTCAGATTTCTTTTAATGAGTTGTGACATTTTTCTTAGCCTTTTTCCCCCCAGAAGGAAAGTGAAGTGGTCCATGCTTGATTATTAATCATGATGAAACAAAGAATAATAATGCTGATTTCTTTCATTCTGCTTGCAAAGACCAGAAATAGACAGAAGTTCGCAGTGCAAAGATAAATGGATTCTCTTATATAACAATTACCGGAGTGTTCTTCTGTATACCAAGAAAGAACACAAGAGCCACTTTGCCACAGCATCCAAACACTTCATTTATCTACAGTGCAGTTGAGCAGAGTCACTACCCTTGTTGAACTGAAATGTTGCGCAACTGTTGTCACAATTACTTTGTTTTCCCTTTTTCCTGGTTGGATGTCACCCAACAATGAGTACACTGGGATTTTTGAGGAGGTCCAGCCCCACCGTGAAGGAACTGTAGAGCACTCGACAGAGTTTTGACCATGCTCAAAATTGGAATCCATAATTGAGCTGTGTCCTTCAAATTTCAGCTATTCAGTTGTGGCATCCTTGGGTAGTCATGCGTGGTAATGGAGTGTACCAAAGGGACAGTGCAAGCCAGGATCAAAGAAGGTGAATTGGGGGTGGGAAATGAACTGGGGATCCTGTTGATGGCATACAGTCCATTTCCCAGTTCAGGAAAGCTTTGAACTAGAGCCTGGCACTCTTAAAGCCGTTATTTCAGCAATGAAACAGCTTAGATTATTCTGAGAAGCACATGCCAGTTAATATCTGTTGGTGCCTGCTTGCCCCCCCCAACCTGCCCCCTTCCATTGCCCCCTCACTCAGAGCAATGAATCCTCAGTGGGGTGCCATGGCCCTGCTGAGCATGGCCAGGAGCCGGCTGTATTGGAAGACTGTGGGGCAACCAGAGGGCATCAAGTTGGAACAGGAAATGGACCGTCCTTTTGTGCACTGGAGCACCATTCCTATCAAGCACTTTCAGCCCAGCCTGCCCAGATTGCGTATTCCAAAACTGGAAGATACTATCAATAGATATTTAGCTGCTCAGAAGCCACTATTGAATGAAGAAGAGGACAGAAATAGTGAAAAAACTTGCTAGAAAGTTTGAAACAGGAGAAGGGAAATTTATACATCCTGCTCTTCTGGAACATGATAGAATGAATAAACATGCAAGTTATTTATCAGGCCAAGGATTTGATCACCAGTGACTTACCCTGAAGTACCTTGTCCAGCACAGAGGTTGATGTATTCCTGATCAAGCCTACAAGAATGATCAAGCCTACAAGAACATAAACCATATTATACTAGTACATTAGGCAGCAGTTATTCATGGTGGGTTTGAACAAGTGGTGCTAGATGGTTTTGGAGTTGGATACAATGTGATGATGGGATGGGAAGTACAGTGGTACCTCAGGTTAAGAACTTAATTCGTTCTGGAGGTCCGTTCTTAACCTGAAACTGTTCTTAACCTGAAGCACCACTTTAGCTAATGGGGCCTCCTGCTGCTGCTGCTGCTGCTGCTGCTGCTGCACGATTTCTGTTCTCATCCTGAAGCAAAGTTCTTAACCCGAGGTACTATTTCTGGGTTAGTGGAGTCTGTAACCTGAAGCGTCTGTAACCTGAAGCGTATGTAACCCAAGGTACCACTGTAATATAACTAGCTCTTTAGAAAAAGACTTAGAAGAATTTATAAAATGCCTTGAGTATACCTTAAATGATATATCTGACATCTTAGAATGGTGAAGTCTTAAATTAATAGTATCAGACTTCCCATTATTTTGAGCTAGCAAAATAATGACACAAAATAAACATTTTAATATTGTGTGGACTACCAGGAAATGCAACAGTTAGAAAAGGAACTTTTCTTGGACCATAGCTGTCAACTTTCCCCTTTTTTAAAGGGAAATGCTCTTATTCCAAATAGGATTCCTTGCAAGAAAAGGGAAAAGTTGACAGCTATGTCTTGGACACTGTAGAAAGCCCAACAATTCAGACAAAAAGTTAAAGCACTTCTTGGTGAATGACAATATACTAATACTCTAATTTTTTGTTACTGTATATTATTGCTGTATATATATTCCTGTATATTATTGCTATTATTGATTTTATAATATATAAAATCAACAATAATATAATATTTTTCCTAGTTTTTTATCTCTTCTGTTTCTGTGGCTGTGTGTGTGTGTGTGTGTGTGTGTGTGTGTGTGTGTAGGCCAAGAACTGGAGATTGAGCTTCAACCCACTAATCTACAACTCCCACAAATTAAGGGAAACTTAAATTAAGGGGGAATTAATGGAGGTTAGCTTACACCAATACACTGCACTTGCTTTTCTTCTTATGAAGCAATTTTAGCCACAACATAGCATTATTTATACACCTTGGAATTTGAGGAGCTGGTAACCCAAGAATTTCCTGCGCTAAAACTGTTCAGAGATTTGAAAGTATTGGCAGGCAACTCTTTGGTTTCCCCTGTTGCCAGTCCAAATTTGTTCTTCCCGGTCCAGATAACATCAAAAGGCATGCAACAACAACAGAAAATCTCCAAATATTTGTAATTAAAAGCAGTCCTCTCTCTTCATCGGGGCCAGTGTTGCTAGCTCATTGGGTGCCAGAGCCAGCTAATATTTGCCAAGGAAAATATTCTTGCTAAAACCTTATTCCTTATCTAAATACTGAGATGGTCTGGAAATGGAACTTGGCAGAAACCCACAAATTTTACTCATAGGATTTAATCATGTGTGCATGGGGGGGGGGAGGTAAATGCCTAACTTTGATCCAGTTGGTTTTTTATAAAAAAAATGATTGAAATAGGTGGGTAGGCTGCTTAGCCAAATGCCCTACAGGTCACACAGCTTGAGGAGCACATGGAATGTTGCACAGTGCCAGTCACTGTAACACAGTAAACACACTTTTCTCTTCCTTTATTTTTAAAGCTGTGTGCTCTTTTACCAATCTGTACACTGGGCACCAAATTACTGACAGGTGACTCTACCTAATTCATGTTTCCTTGTCCAACTTTTCTGAATTTCTACTACAGTTCTCCAACCAAGCAATGTGGGCAAAATCAACATATTAGTAAAGAAATAGCATACAAAATGCATTATTTTAGGTAAAATTGCTTGCAAAAATATGTATTTGGGGGCTAATGAATTTTTGCAAGGGTTTTCTTTAAATAAAATAAAATAAATTGTAACCTGATGTGGATAGGTGGAGAACTGAACTGCAAATTGGAAAAATGAGAGAAACTGAAACTGACAGATTCACCTATCCCTACCAACAGGTTTGATTAGTGTTTATTATATCAAGTATCACTTTGCACCAAGAATTGCCCCACTGTCATGAAGATCATGATCATTACAGAATGGAAAGAGCAAGGCAGTAGTGATCAGCTATGACCTGGAAAGCTTGAAGCCAAAAATCTCAGCTATAGCCCTAAGCAGCCATAACTGAGGCTGTGGGAAAATGCATACTCAGCCAGAGGCCTTTTGAAACTTTTTAATGCTGCCAGTCATCTGACTGTAAATGGAAGAGGTGCAATAAAAACTTTCAGTACTGTCTAATATTTCACACTCAGTCTAAACATTTCAACCAGCAAAGATAAAAGATCTACATATTTCTATTAATTAATGTAACTGCCTTTGCTGCCATGTGAGTTTCTCACAGCATTTAATGCAATTATTGCACAAGCTTTTAATGTAAGAATAATTCTCTTTCTATGGGGGAAAGTATATGTAGTTTGTTTTAGCTCAGACAAGCTAATTTTGTTGGAGTAAAGACAAATTAATGGGTTTCAGCCAGCGGTGGCTTTGCACTAGTGGAAATCATTCTGCTCATACACGGCAGGTCACACAGTTTTTGCCAGTCCTTAGTATTGCACGCACGCACGCACACACACACACACACACACAATATCTGCTTCTGAGACTCTGAAGGAATATAGGATATGGTGCAAATGGGGTGTAAGGGTATCAGGGGGTTGCTCGAGAGCAATCAGGCAAATGCCTCCCTGGTCTGTTGTGAAGCCTTGTTATTGGTGCCAAAAAAACCTTCACCATGCAGAGCACCACTATTCCGTGGCTCGCTCATTCACTGGCAGAATCTGAGAGTGGGCGGTCCTTAAACCTTCCCCAGCAGAGTAGTTTCTTGACGCCCCGTCTGCGCTTCCCCTCTCGGCGCGGAAGCCTACTGCGCAAGGAGGGCGTGGGTAACGGAGGACCTCTCTCCTCCCCTCTTTGCTCAGGCAAGGTGTCCTGGCACCGCTTCTCCTCCTCCGAGCCCTGCAGCTCCTCTCCACTGGAGGCGTAGTTACTCTCCTCCACTGAGAAGGTGCTGCTTCCAACGATCTTTGGGGGCTCTCTGTAATCCATCCAGCTTTTCCCCTCTCGCCCCTGAGCCGATGGCAGTTCCCTGACATGGGGGGATCACAATATGCAAGAAGAAACATTTTCCACTAGTGCAAAGCCATCATTGGATACAACCTAATGATTTTTGCTTGAATTCAAAACAAGTTCTCTGATCGTGTGTGGAACTCTGTCCAGGAGAATTGGCCAAATGCAGCTGTTTTAATTCAGTCAACGCTTAACCTGACACCCTCTCCTCTGTTTTCCTTAATTCTGTCTCTGAATTTGAACCTTGGGCTTTGTTCATTTAAATTGTGGAAGCTGCCTGCCCAGTCTTTCTCTCTCATCATCCTTTCCTACTTCTAGATCTTTTGCTGCTTTTGATGTTTTAGTTTCCTTTCTGCTGCATTCCTCTGGGGTTTTTTTCTCTTTGTGCTAAAAGTAAACCTAGAATTTGTTTAAATATTATCATTCCAGCAGCTCCAGATCCTGGTCCAAAATTTCATTCCAAAATATACTATGCTCCTGATAAATCTGCTGTGCATTTACCCTAAGAACATATTTCCATTGCAGATTAAATTTCTCCTGTGATTTTGATTGCATGGCTTAGTGTACCAGTTCAATTGCTCCCCATTAGAGAAACATCTTACGTTTTCACACATTTACTAAGCCTGGAACATCTAGATTATCCTTCAGGATATATGGATGCAGGCTTGATTTCTGTTATGCTCACAAGTGCTTCCCACTTTGAAGAAACCCTTCAGCAAGATCTGTAAAAATCACAAGTATTGCCTAGTCCGTTTATGATAGACGCCTTTTTATTATTTCTCATAACTAAGACTGTAAAACATATGAAGTTGTCTTGCTCACCCACCTCCCACCAGACTGAAGACACAAGACATTTAGGGACACACCAGCCAAATGGCTGATCTGTGTCCTTCATCACCGACTCACCAAGAATGAGCAAGGGAAGGCCATAGAGGAGAAGGGCTGTAGTTCGGTGGTGAACTTCGGATTTGCTTGCCTAAGGTCCCAGATTAAATCCCTATCATCTCCAAGTAGAGCTGGTAGAGAAATCCCTGTCTTAGAGAGCTCTTGTCAGTCAGTGTATGGAGCTAGATTAGACGAAAGGTCTGATTCAGTATAAGGCAGCTCTCAATATTTGTACCGTAATGCTTTCTTCTAAGCTGCTTTGTGCATCTTCAGACAGAGTAGGGTAAAGAAGAAAATCTGCTTCCAGGGGAACAATTGAAATTGGGAGAAGTAGGGGACACCTAACTCTTTCGTCATCCATTATTTTCCCACTCCAAATTACCTCCAGAGGATTTCCCTTCCCCTTCCAGATTTCTGTGTTCTATTTGGGCAAATATGCATTGAAACCCTGTGGAAGGCAGAAACATTGAAGTAGATACAGAGTTAGGGAAAAGCTAACCTGCTTTTCTCCCCTCCTCCCCTCTTTTCTGATACCAAACACTCTTCCAGTTGTGGTTGTCTTTCCTGTTTAAAAGGGGCCACTGGGGCAATATTACATGCATCTGCATGTAACATCTAGATTTACTCTTTCAGTTCAGATCAACATCACAGATGCCTTAAACTGACATGGTAAATAACCAGTGCAGATAAGCACAAAGTCATTTGTTTTCAGTAGTTTCTATGACAGAGATTGCAGTTGCACATCCTGTTTTCTAATGAACAGGAATATAGCTAAACAGAAAGCTGCAGAACGTGGTCAGTCAGTTTCCTTAGATGACATCAAGT